TTCGTTTACAACGGCTAGACGAACGCGCTATCTCTTTAAAATTAGGGTTAAAGTCGAGCGACACCTTTTTCAAGAAAACTAATTTTATATTATTTAAAAGTTCTCGGTCGCTACACGAAGTGCCCCTCAATACTTACAGGATTTTCATTGCCAAAACACTGCACTGACTGCATCCATTTCAAAGTTGAACAAGCAGCTACTGTTGTCCCCTTCAGGTAAGCCTTTTTCACTTCAACACACTCTTTCTTACCATGTTTTCTCACCCACCTATCAAGCTTTCTCAGCCACCATATCCTCGCATACTGAACCCAAGACTTACAAACAAGCTCTTAGGGACCCGTGATGGTGCCGAGCAATGGATATTGAGCTGGCTGCCTTGGAAGCAAATAATACTTGGCAACTCACTGATCTGCCTCATGGAAAAATTCCTATTGATTGCAGGTATGTTTATAAGATCAAATACAATTCAGATGGGGGTGTCGAGAGATTAAAAGCCCACTTAGTAGCTAAAGGCTACACACAACTTAAAGGAGTGGACTATCAAGAAACTTTCTCTCCTGTTGCAAAATTGGTCACCGTGAGATGTCTTCTTGCAATTGCATTAGTTAAAGGTTGGTTTTTACATCATTTTGATGTCAATAATGTCTTCCTACATGGGGATTTACATGAAGACATTTACATGAATAAACTTCTTGGTTACACCAAAGGCTCTCCAAACCAAGGTTGCAAGTTACTCAAAAGTTTATATAGCATCAAACAAGTATCGAGGCAATGGTATTCTAAGCTCTCTACTATTCTAATTGACTCAGGTTTCTCTCAATCCAAGGCTGATTATAGTCTGTTCACCTGAGAAGTAAATGGTATTTTTGTGGTTATTTTTGTGTATGTCTATGACATACTGGTGGCAAGCAATGACCTCAACTCTGTTCATGCTTTGAAATTTCTTTTACATAGCAAATTTCAAATTAAGGACCTCCGCAAACTTAGATACTTCCTTGGCATCGAGATTGCCCAGTCCTCCAAAGGAATTTATCTTTGTCAACGTAAATATACTTTGGATATTTTAGCAGATTCAGGCCATCTCGACAGCAACACAGCTAAGGTCCCCATGGAGCAAAATCTGAAATTAACTCAGTCCACTGGCATCCCATTATTTGATCCTAGTATTTACAGACGGATGATTGGTCAACTTTTATATCTCACCATATCTCGACCTGACATCAGTTTTAGTGTTCAAACTTTGAGTCAATTTATGGCTGTACCAACTAATGTTCATCTCCTGGCAGCACAGAAAGTACTTCGCTATCTCAAAGCTGCTCCAGGACAAGGGCTGTTCCTCCCTCATTCCTCCTCATTCCAATTAGAGGCCTATTGCAACTCCGACTAGGCTTCATGACCAGATACCAGAAGATCCGTCAGTGGCTATTGCGTGTTTCTTGGCTCATCTTTAATCTCTTGGAAGTTCGAGAAGCAGGCTGTTGTCTCTCGATCTTCAGCCGAAGCGAAATATCGTTTAATGGCAGCTACATGTTCTGAATTAACATGGATCAGATTCATCCTCACTGCTCTTCAAGTCCATCATCTGCAAGCTGCTCTGCTCCACTGTGATAACCAAGCAGCCATACATATCGATGCGAATCTCGTATTCCATGAACGTATCAAACACATCGAGCTGGACTGCCACTTAATTCGAGACAAAATCCACGATGGCAGTATCTCCACCTCTTATGTTCCCAGCTCTGCCCAGGTTGCTGATATCATGACAAAAGCCTTGCCCTCTAAAGTCCTTCACCTTCACTTAACCAAGATGGGAGTTATAAATCTTTACGTTCCATCTTACGCGGGGGAGGGGGGCTATTGGAGAATGAATCACAACAACAGACTGAGAAGGGAAAAGACGTTGCAGTCACATGAGCATTGCCAATTCTATTTTTCTGTTATTTTCATTTGCTGAGTTGTATATAGAGGGCATTACTGACTTTTCATAGATCGAATTGGTTAGAATATTCTTCTTTCTGTATATACATAGACATGCACTGTTTCACTGTGCTGAGTAGAGAAAATAATACAAGAAACCAATTTCTCTGCAATTCTTCTTGTTCTCTGTCATTTCTTTTCATTCCTTTTGTTACATCTCCAAAGAAAGAACCTCATTGCTCAACTGCAGTATCCCACAGATCCCAGGATTGATATTCTTGTTCCCATCTGAAAATACTAATCCACAAGGAGAAATATTAAACCCTAAACCTATTTGATGCCTCACTCGCTGAAGATCCTGGAAGTGGACCTATATCAAGATTTGCTTCTGTAAAGAATGAATGCCAATTATATGAGTTATTGTCACAACCATTATTTAATTACAATGCTACATTATTTTTTTTATGGGACACAATTACTTTTGAAGTTTGATTATATCCATGCCATATTTTTGTATAAGAGTTTTATTAATTTACAACGATCAACATTGATCTATTTCTTCAATTCGTGACCAGTTGATTAGACCATTGACCTACTAATCCAGTAGTTCACTAGGTCATGTGACCAACCATCTAAATATGCAAACTAGAGAAGTCCTACCCTTACCGTTGATGGTGGGAAAGGTGGCCGTATGCACTTCGACGGTCACGTTAGCCTATGTAAGAGTATATATTTGGGCGTGGGACGTACTAAAAACATGAACTACTTTAAGTAAAAGGAGTTTGGACCCGGGAGTAATAGAGAGAGAGCAAAGTTATATGTTGAGAGAATAAACTTGAATTACCTTGAAATGACATTCAGTGAGAGTTTTTATAGTAGAAAATGATGTGTAAGATTCGTTGGACGAAGAGACACGTGGCCTCATCCTTGTGGTTAGGGCATCTTATCATAGACTTCAATCAATCATTTTTAAACCATATTGTATTTAATGTTGTGATGGCTTAACTGCTCTAGGTCTGACATGTAAGATTAGAGTTGACTTGTTTTACTAAGTAGAGTCACATATTCAGTGAATTGTCACATCACTCACTTGATACAAAATCTTGTATGAAGATCTTCTCAAAGATGCCTCTAACTACCGCACATCATCCATGAGGGCTTAGCTCCCTGTGGGGGTTCAGTCAAAATTGCCACATAAGAAGAAGGATGTGGAGCATGGGTCTAGGTTCAGTTGCTTCGTAGCTACCACTTGGCCATGCTTAGAGCCTCATTGGAAGAGGCATAACACTTACTATACAAGAAGCGTAATACCCTACCTGTATCTTTCTTACACTATATATATAAACTCACCCTCTTCCTCAATCTACTTACTATATGTTCTTCATCTCCTTAATACTATATATGTGCATATATACAGACACAACACATATTTCCCTGTTTATGCATGCGTATGGCACTTAGCAATTTGAATACGTTTTCAATGGACATTTTTAGAAGTAATATGGAGAAGAGGCGACTGTTCTTGAGAAGCTACAAGTTCTACAAGAAGCATAATGTGAGAGACAGGTTGATTAAAGTGAAAAAAGTTATATGTATTAAGGCTTTGATCAACAAGAAAGTTGAAAAAGTTGCAGTGTTTCAAACTCAGAAACGATCGTTTTTTGCAAGGATAAGAAGGTTTTTTCCTAGTCTGCGTAACTACAAGAATTGCCCTAATTCCAATGATGTTTATTATACACCTTCTTGATTGTTATAGGATTTTTGTCTTTTAATTTTCCGTGACTTATAACTTAAGTAACTAAAGAAGGAGATGATCAATTTCGACGTACATCTGTCGTCTGGTTTTCATGTTGCTCTTTTATTAGGATATGTATGAATATTTCATATCTTTTCAGCGTTAGGAAATTGATGCGTGGTGATGTAGGGGTTTAGAGACTAACAATAAGTTCATGATTTGAAACTAAAGACTACACTTATATATGAATATGATGCATACCCTCGCAAGTCTCATACTTTGTCAAGATATGATATTTAGGGTAAGGATGTAAGTCGGATTGATTTGTCCAATTTTGATAGATTTTAAAATCTAATCGTTTTAAAAAGTTTGATAAAAACACAAACCTAAACTGAATCATTTAAAATGACTTGAGATTTTCTTAAATATAAACAAAATCATTTTGTTCTTTATAGAAAAATTCAAGTGTCAATATATGAAAATGCATAGTCCAAATTAACTACACATCTTAGAATGTGTTCTTTAGCTGGATTACAAATCTTAGTTTATGTTTGGTACTGATTAAAATCTAAATTTTAATTTAAGTCAAAATCAACAATTAATTTTAATCACATATTTTATGGGTTCCACAACTTTTTAACTACACATTTTATCAACTGTTACCAAAATCTACTAAAAATTTGATTTTAATGTCCGCTAAACAGGGGTTTATTAAGCCCTTGTTTGGCCCCCATTAAATTTTAATACATTTTTCATATTTTTTTTCAACCACACATTTTTCAATAAAATAATATTACATATAAATAAATAAAAAAATCGTCTTTTTTAACCGTACATTCTCTCAAAAATTACTATTTCAAAATATATTATTCCAAAAATCTCATTATAATGGGAGCCAAATAAGGACTAAGTATGTAAAATTAATTGTTAATTTTAAACTCAATTTTTTAAGGAAAATCAAACAAAGACTAAATCATCGATCCGCCTGTTAAATTAATAGCTTAATGGTAACTTTCGAATGCAAGTATTAGAAAAAATTGAGGGCTTCAGTGTAAATTCATACAGCGAGACAAACATCCCCACTCCTATCTCGAATCCTGTACCTTTCTCCTCAAATTCCCGAAAGTGTCCCCCACGTTCCGGATAATCACCACTCTCTCACTCTTTCTTACAAAACCCCTTCTCCACTATCACTTGTGTACTTTTTCTACTTCTATACACACAGACCAACCTTCTTCCGATCTACGCCAAGTACCGATTTCTCTTGTTCCATACGCCATTTTCACTGAGAGAAAAAGTGAAGAAGAAAGGAATTTAATTATTTTTTTGTAAATTAATTGAATAAAAAATGCCAATCAAGAGTGAAACGACGCCGCCGCCGAGAATCGGGAAGATCGGGCCGTACACTGTGTTCGTAACACCTTCGCCCACACCCAATCCGAGTTTGAAACCGGATTCTCCCAAAAAACCTGTTGACGTTCCGGTTCAGGTCCAGACTCCGGTTCAAAAAGTTGTACAGCCTCCTCCTCCGGTTCAAAAAGTTGTACAGCCTCCCCCTCCGGTTATGGCTCCGCCAGTGCAGTACTGTGAAGATAAGTCTGTCTTTGCTTTCTTCTGGGACGCCGTGGCCAAAGTCCAAAACGGTATCGTTTAAAAGATTGCCTTCCCTCTTTTTTGTATTGTTAATTTTTTATAATAATAAATTGTTTTGTTCTATTGCTACAGATTTGTAAACATAGGTGGGTAGAATTATAATTTTCAGGAATGCTTAATTTAATTTATAATTTTTGTAGCTCATGCGCGTTTGGATGAGCACGTCGCTCATTGGTTTGGCTTGAATCAGTCCAAGTATCAATGGGCATTGGATGATTACTGTGAAAGAAATGGAAAGGCCAGTTTTCGTTCCTTCTTTTTTATTTTCAGTTTTGAAAAGTTATGTTCTTTTCTTATTCTTTCATGATAAATTACCTCCAATGCATGATATTCTCGAGTCATTTCCCAAAATTGAACAGGTACTTAGAGGCCATAATTATGCACTTACTGATCAAAGTTTCAGTATGCAGGTCGCTTGAGATTATTGAAACATTTCCTGTTATGGGAATTGGATTCCTGTGGAAAAAAAAATAGACAAAATGAAGTTTCCTCACAGCATTTTTCTATAACCCAACTTACAAAAAATAAAGGAATTGGGTTTGACTATAATGCAATTTTATTGCGTATACAGGTCTTGAGTACAGAGTAGAACAGTGAGACCTAATGGTATCATTAGGTTCCCTGTTTGGTGGAAAAATAAGCGTTATATCTAGGATAAACAGAAATAAAATGTACAATTTAATGGATTAAATGCCTCTCATGCATCTGTACATGTATTCATGTTAGTTACTTGTGTATAAAAATTTTAATGCAATTTGTATATTTTTTCCTTATTCAACGACAAAAGCAATCCATGTGGAGAAGTGTTTCACTCTACTCAAAAGTGTTAAATTCGTAAGAGGAAAATTCCATATTAGCATGGCAGCAGTATTGGTAATAGCTGTGGTTTTGACATCTAAAAGCCTATAGACAAGCTTTCTTTGAGAAATAGTTTGCTTGCATACAGGATTAGACAAGCTTGAGAATTTTGACTTTGCACAATTTTTTTTGGGAACTAGGCTTGTGTGTTTTCAGGAAAACATGAAAGAAGATGGGAAGAGTAGATTAAAATTAATATGGACTAATGTGGTGCCTCAGGGAGTTGGATTTTCTAGTTAGAAGGGATGTATCAAATGGACGACAAACATTGTTTAGAAATGCTATTTGAGGCTTAAGCCTCAAATCCTGCCTTGCATAAGGTTTTCATAGAAAGAATTTAATCTTTAAGTGCATTTGTGATGCTTGTCTTGCACGACAAACATTGTACAAAAAACTATTTGAGGGTTGGGCCACAAATCTGGCCTCACTCGAGGCTTTCATAAAAAGTCTCAAAGCATAATCTTTAAGCACCATTTCTAAGGCTTTTCTTGCTTGGAAAACATTTTATTACTTGCCTTAACTTTTTGGGCTTTTGCTTTATAATCTCTAATGTTTTTTGGGCCATTACCTTTTCTTTTATCAGCCTTTACACAAAAAGAGAAGGGAGAATTCATAATAACTTGTGGAGGATGATGGATAAAGAATGAGAGGAAACTACTAGTGACGAGGAGCTTTATGTTGATGATAACCTTAAAGATCCTATTAATATTGATGATATAAGAGATTTTCTAAGTTGTTTCTAATTCTAATAGTACATTACAATTTTGTTTTGTGATTACTAATTTGATAACTTATTATTTGCTACTTTATTAATCTATCTGTTTGCAAGTTAGACTTTTAATTTTGTTAATTTGTTTTATTATGAATGTTTTTAGATGGTTTATGATTTATTATGAACATATTTTTGTATTTTTATATTCAGTTGAATTATTTATTGGTTTGTTTAAGGCTTACGATTTACCTCACAGAGATGAAAACGCTTCAATACCCGATTAAAGCCTTTCTAAATTATGGCAACAAAAAGATTCATGAATGTTCTTAGATTCTAATATTGCTGCTTGGAAATGGTTTCCAGTTATTTGACATCCATATGAATTTATCTAATATATGTGATACATGTTGACTACAGAACCAACCAGAGGCAAAAGCACAAAGTGGAATGCAAAATGTATAACGCGAGCAGGTACAATAATGTAACATTCTTGGTTTTTTTTTTTGATGGAACGGAGTGGAGAAAAATGGTTGTCAGTCAGTATTTTGGAATGTTGTTTGTGGATGCTATCATATTTCAGGGTATCTTTCAAGCAAGGACACCTGTGTAAGCTCGAGTCCGGGGCATGCACAGTTGGAGTATGATTAACGTGTGCTGTGCTAATGCATGAAGGAAGCTCTTGTCAAATGTATTAGTTTAAAAAAAAAAAAAAATTTATTTATTTATTTTTATTTTTTTGCTGTGCTGTTATGATACTACTGCGGTTGATATCATCTGGGTGTTATTGGATGCTATCTTTTGCCCTTTTTGGTAATTGGTATGTTTATGACGATGACTAGTCAGTATTTTTATAAACTACCTAAACAAAATCAAAGAAATAAACTATCAAAATAATCTAACCTTTGAATATTAGTGAAAAAATGAAGATGAAGTTTTCATTTGAAAAGCGAGGGTGGAAGTGGTCGGTTTTGTCGATTTTCTTCTTTCCCCTTTTTTCTCTATTTTGAAATGGAAGATCAAATTAGGGCTGTCCGTGGGTGGGGTTGGTTCGGTTCGATTCTGAAGAGATCCGAACCGATCCAAAACTTTCGGGTATTTAATAAGTGGACCCGTCAGGTCCAAATATAATTATGGAACCGTTCGGGTGCGGTTCGGTTCCGTACCATAATTAAATTTTTTAATGTTTTCAATAACGCTACATAAATACAACTAATGACATTTCATTCGTAACTTTTACAAATTAACATAGCCCAATTCAAAAACATATACATAATTAGCCGTCCAATAAGATTAATTAAATGCATACAAATACCAAAAAGTAGATATTAATATTATAGCAAAATTACAAAAAGTATATTCATTTGCTTCAAATTAAAATGAGCTAATGGATTTTAAAAATGATTTGAGCTTTAAAATGAAAATTATGAAATAATCTAATTTATTTAATTAATTTGTATAAAAAAATAAAATAATTTAATTAATTCAATATAAAAAATAAAAAAATTATTTAGTTTCGGTTCTTATTCGGTTATTCGGTTCTTGGTCTAGATCCGAGACTCGACCCAAACCCATCGGTTCTCGATTCGGGTACCCGTTCGGGTATTTAATTTATGAAGAACCACTCGATTCGGTTCGGTTCGGGTTCGGTTCGGTCCGGTTTGGTTCGAAACTTTTGGACACCCCTAGATCAAATGAGGGATTTTAATATTTTCACCTTTTTTTTTTTTTTCAATTGGCTCGAAGGCTATTGACGCGGCCCATTTAAAACTAAATCTGTGTGCAATTCACATGTAGGATAACTTACAAAAATACCATTAAAAATTGAGGTTTTTTGAAAAATCATAATAAAAACATTTTTGAAGTAAAAAATGTGTCATTTTTTATTAACTTAGGGTGTATTTGAGCCACATTATTTTGGAAGAATGTATTTTGGAATAGTAGATTGATGGAGAATGGGTGGTTGAAAAAGAAGGAAAAGTTATTGATGTGATGAAAAATATTATTTTATTGAAAAATGTGTGGTTGAAAATGAGTAGAAGAATGAAAATGAAAAAAATAATGTGGACCACGCATGAGCTTAACTTTAAAAAGTGACACAATGTCACTTTTTTATTAAAAATAACATACAATGTCACTTTTATTAAAAAGTGATGTTTGTCACTCAAAAAAGTGATAGAAATTTCAATAAAGTGACGAACACTAAAAAAAATGATAAAAATTTAAAAAAAAAGTGACAAGACAATAATTCAAAAAAAAAACATAAATTTAAAAAAAAAAAGACAAATTCAAAAAAATGACAGAAAATAAAAATAACGACAAACACTAAAAAATGACAAAATTTAAAAGAAGTGACACTCAAAAAAGTGACAGAAATGTAAAAAAACAGGAGTGACAAAAAAGTGACAAAAATTCAAAAAAGTAAATACTTGAAAAATGATAAAACAACAATCAAAATTCAAAAGAAGTGACACTTAAAAAAGTGACAAATTTAAAAACAAAATGATAGAAAAAAGTGACAAGAATTCAAAAAAGTGACAAATACTTAAAAAATGATAAAACAACAATCAAAACTTATATTTGTCACTAAAAAAGTGACATAAATTTTAAAAAGAAGTAATATACAATTAAAAAAAGATAGAAATTTCAAAAAAGTGATAGAAAAAGTAACTAATACTCAAAAAAATGATAAAAATTCAAAAAAGTGACGCTAAAACAAAGTAACAAATCGTCAATCAAAACCTTAAAATGTCACTTTTTTATTATGCAGTGTCACTTTTTAAAATTAAATATCCTTTTATTAAAAAATAATGTTTGTCACTCACAGTGACAAAAATTCAAAAAAAGTAATAAAGAATAAAAAAAAAGTGATAGAAAATTAAATAAAAAACGTGACAGAAATTCAAAAAATGGACAAATACTAAAACAAGTGACAAAAATTCAAAAAAAAAAAAAAAGAAATACTAAAAAAAAAAAGTAACAAAAAAGTGCTTGAAATATCCTATCCACCTTCATCGGGAAGTTTTCGAAGCGAAATCAATGGAATCAAATTGGGAATTTTGATTCCCATTCTCTTGTACCAAAATCCTAACCCATAATCTCAATAGATTCACTCGTATTCAATGCCTACCTATAATTTTTTTAAATGGTTGCATCCATCGGTTCTTCGAAATTGAATCTTTCATCGAAATCGATTATCTTTCCATCCATCGACGGCACAAGACGATGAATTCCATTAATAATCCGATATGAAACCCTAATGGGATCGCTAATTACAGAATTTGTTTTCTACTCAGTCTTAGAGGTTGTTTGGAGAGTGGACATGGTAGTATTTTGCTTTCTCTTGCCATTTGTGTTCCTCAGTTTTCCACCTCCCTGTGCCTAAGGTTGGGGATTTTGGAGGTTTTGACAGTATTGATTACGGAGTTCAAAACTTCAACTAGTTTTTAAACTATTTTTCTATTTTTTCCATTTTTTTAGGGTAATGAACCTAATTTTCCCTTTCGGAATTAAGAAATAAGGTTCAAAAATCAGATATCATTAAATTTTATTTATTAAATAATTAATAAAAATATATTTTATTAATTAAATATATTAAAGTTACAATTTATACAATTTCGTCATAAATTATTTTTCGATCACAAATCAAAAATTTTATAGGTCACAAATTATTTCACGATTACATATCAAAAGTTTTATATGTCACAATTTATTTATCGATCACAAATCAAAAAATTTATAGGTCACGATTTTTTTATCGGTCATAAATCATAAATTCTATAAGTCACAATTCAAATTTTTAGGTCACATATTGTTTATCGGTCATAATTTATCGGTCACATGTTATTTTTTAGTCACATCATATCCAAATTATTGGTCACAATCTCAAATCCACCGTGGCACTACCATCTGTAACAACTACCATTTTCAACTTCAAAATCACCACCAACACTACCTCACCACCACAACCACTATCGAGACCATCGCCACCAAGAAGATCCAACAAAATCGCCGCGCCACTGTCGCCCAAAAAACACCAACAAATCAGATCCACAACAAAAGTCGCACCACCACTGCCACCCCGACGACCACCACCAATAGCAAACACAACCAACAAAAACCACCAAAAAAATAATGAGCATAACCACAACCTCACGAAAATCGCCACCGCCTAACGATGTTACTGCAGCGGCATCGCGATACAAATTTTCCTAAATCTTGTCGTTCATCGCTGCATCAAATCCCTGCATCATCGATGCTATAAGTCACTGCGTTGTCGGAAGTGCGCGGCGACCAATTTCTCTGTTTCACATCTCCTCTGTTTCCCTTGATTTGTTTGGTGTGGTGTTGATGGTTAAGGTAAAGATGGTGGATTTGTGGTGATGATGGCGTCGACTATGGGTTTGGGGATTTTTTTAGTGGGTGTAGTGGGTGTGGTGAGGTGGTTGAGTGTGGTGCGGCGAGGTGGTGCCGACGATGCGGTAGTCTTGGCAAGGTGGCGCCAGCAATGGTGGCGTCGACGATGTGGTGGTGTTGGCGGCGGACGGCTAGAGAGAAGTTGGGATAGAGAAAAGGGAGAAAATGGAGATGATGAAAATGATTAGGGCTTTGGAGTGTGATATTGGGTAGGATGAATATGTATATTTAATTTTGTTATATAATTATTAATATTTAAAATTTTAATTATCATCTAATTTTTGAAATAAAAATTTACAAATCTTAATTTTGAAATGAGAAGTTTAAAATTCTAGTGGGCTGTAATTTCCACTACGAAAGAATTCATATCTCAGAATTTAAGTACGACCCATTTAAAAATTAAGAAACAAGGTTAAAACTTCTAAAATCATATGTTAATTGAATTTTATGTTTGAAATAATTAATTAAATATATTTTTTATTAATTAAATATATTAATGTTACAATTTCATTCATTTTGATCTCGAATTATTGAATTAATTGGTCACAGACAAAATTTTTTATCGGTCACAAATTATTCATCGACCATAAATTACAATTCATAAGTCACGACTTAATTAATGTCACAAATTATCGAATTAATTGATCGTAAATTATTTTTCGATCACAATATAATAAATTATGATTCACAATTATATTTTTTAGGTTACATATCATTTATTGGTCACAAATAAAAAAAAATTTATTGATCACAATCAACTAAATAATTGGTAACAAATACCTCCACCCCACCCACCCACGACCACTGTACCTACGACCACCACCACCTTAATAGACCATGCAAAACCACCACCACAGCACCCATAACACCACCACCACATACCATAACAACCGCAAAACCACCACAACAGCACCGCACCATCTAAATCCACCATCTTCGATGTCGGATCTAATCAGATGGCCATCGCAACGTCGTAGTAACTGGGGATGTCGCGACATCACATCGACTAAGGCCATCGTGAGTTCGCAGCAGCGCACGGAAGAATTGCGATGGCGTTGCTACTTCACTACTTAACCAACGATGACAACAGCTAGGAACTGGGATGAAGACGCAGCCACGACTTTGCTACTTACCGATGACTGGAAGTTGTGATGTGTGAGAGGGAGACATGGGTATGGAGAGAGAGATGAGATGGGAAAGTAATTAGGGTTTGTAATGAAATTTCATGGTATTATTAATATTAAAAATTTGAATTAACATCCGATTTTGGTATAAACAAACTTTAGATCTGATTTTTTAAGTTGGATCTTAAAAAATATAATGGGGTACTTACAAAAATACCCTTAAAATTAGGGGTGTTTTGAAAAATCATATGAAAGGTTTTTAGGAAGTAAAAAATACTGTGTAAAATAAAAACTTGACACAATGTCACTTTTTTTATAAATA